TCATTTCTAATTCTATTGATTTGAGTCTTCTCCCTGTTTTTCTTGATGAGTCTGGCTAATGGTTTATCAATTTTGTTTATCTTCTTAAAGAACCAGCTTTTAGTTGTATTGATCTTTGCTATAGCTTCCTTCATTTCTTTTTCATTTATTCTGATCTGATCTTTATGATTTCTTTCCTTCTGCTAACTTTGGGGTTTTTTTGTTCTTCTTTCTCTAATTGCTTTAGGTGTAAGGTTAGGTTGTTTATTTGAGATGTTTCTTGTTAAGGTAGGATTGTATTGCTGTAAACTTCCCTTTTAGAACTGCTTTTGCTGCATCCCATAGGTTTTGAGTCATCGTGTTGTCATTGTCATTTGTTTCTAGGTATTTTTTGATTGCCTCTGTGATTTCTTCAGTGATCTCTTGGTTATTAAGTATTGTTTAGTCTCCATATGTTTCTATTTTTTACAGATTTTTTCCTGTAGTTTATATCTAGTCTCATAGCATTGTTGTCAGAAAAGATACTTGATATGATTTCAATTTTCTTAAATTTACCAAGGCTTGATTTGTGACCCAAGATATGATCTATCCTGGAGAATGTTCCATGAACACTTGAGAAGGAAGTGTATTCTGTTGTTTTTGGATGGAATGTCCTATAAATATCAATTAAGTCCATCTTGTTTAATGTGTCATTTAAAGCTTATGTTTTTTATTTATTTTCATTTTGGATGATCTGTCCATTGGTGAATGTGGGGTGTTAAAGTCCCCTGCTGTGATTGTGTTACTGTCGACTTCCCCTTTTATGGCTGTTAGTATTTGCCTTATGTATTGAGGTGCTCCTATGTTGGGTGCATAAATATTTACAATTGTTCTATCTTCTTCTTGGATTGATCCCTTGATCATTATGTAGTGTCCTTCTTTGTCTCTTGTAATAGTCTTTGTTTTTAAGCCTATTTTGTCTGATATGAGAACTGCTACTCTAGCTTTCTTTTGATTTCCATTTGCATGGAATATCTTTTTCCATCCCCTCACTTTCAGTCTATATGTGTCCCTAGGTATGAAGTAGGTCTCTTTTAGACAGCACATTTAGGGATCTTGTTTTTGTACCCATTCAGCCAGTCTACGTCTTTTGGTTGGAGCATTTAATCCATTTACATTTAAGGTAATTATCGATATGTATGTTCCTATTACCAGTTTCTTAATTGTTTGGGGTTTGTTATTGAAGGTCATTTCCTTCTCTTGTGTTTCTTGCCTAGAGAAGTTCCTTTAGCATTTGTTGTAAAGCTGGTTTGGTGGTGCTGAATTCTCTTAGCTTTTGCTTGTCTGTAAAGTTTTTATTTTCTCTGTCAAATCTGAATGAGATCCTTGCTGGGTAGAGTAATCTTGGTTGTAGGTTTTTCCCTTTCATCACTTTAAATATGTCCTGCCACTCCCTTCTGGCTTGCAGATTTTCTGCTGAAAGATCAGCTGTTAACCTTATGGGGATTCCCTTGTGTGTTATTTGTTGTTTTTCCCTTGCTGCTTTTCATACGTTTTCATTGTATTTAATTTTTGACAGTTTGATTAATATGTGTCTTGGCATGTTTCTCCTTGGGTTTATCCTGTATGGGACTCTCTGTGCTTCTTGGACTTGATTAACTATCTCCTTTCGCATATTAGGGAAGTTTTCAACTATAATCTCTTCAAATATTTTCTCACTCCCTTTCTTTTACTCTTCTTCTTTTGGGACCCCTATAATTCGAATGTTGGTGCATTTAATGTTGTCCCAGAAGTCTTTGAGACTGTCCTCAATTCTTTTCTTTTTTTTTTTCTCTATTCTGCTCTGCAGTAGTTATTTCCACTATTTTATCTTCCAGGTCACTTATCCGTTCTTCTGCTCCATTATTCTGCTATTGATCCCTTCTAGGGAATTTTTAGTTCATTTATTGTGTTGTTCATCACTGTTTGTTTGCTCTTTAGTTCTTCTAGGTCCTTGTTAAATGCTTCTTGTTATTTTTTCCATTCTATTTCCAAGATTTTGGATCATCTTTACTATCATTATTCTGAATTCTTTTTTCAGGGAGACTGCCTATTTCCTCTTCATTTGTTAGGTCTGGTGGATTTTTACCTTGCTCCTTCATCTGCTGTGTGTTTCTCTGTCTTCTAATTTTGCTTAATTTACTGTATTTGGGGTCTCCTTTTCACAGGCTGCTTGTTCGTAGTTCCCGTTGTTTTTGGTGTCTGTCCCCAGTGGCTAAGGTTGGTTTAGTGGGTTGTGTAGGTTTCCTGGTGGAGGCGACTAGTGCCTGTGTTCTGGTGGATGAGGCTGGATCTTGTCTTTCTGATGGGGAGGTCCACGTCTGGTGGTGTGTTTTGAGGTGTCTGTGGACTTATTATGATTTTAGCCAGCCTCTCTGCTAATGGGTGGGGTTGTGTTCCTGTCTTGCTAGTTGTTTGGCATAGGGTGTCCAGCACTGGAGCTTGCTGGTCGTTGTGTGAAGCTGGGTGCTGGTGTTGCGTTGGAGTTCTCTGGGAGATTTTTGCCCTTTGGTATACGTGGAGGTTGGAGGTCTCTTGTGGACCAGTGTCCTGAACTTGGCTCTCCCACCTCAGAGGCACAGCCCTCTTGCCTGGCTGGAGCACCAAGAGCCTGTCATGCACACGGCTCAGAATAAAAGGGAGGAAAAAAAGAAAGAAAGAAATAAGAAGATAAAATAAAATAAAAAATAATTATTAAAAAATTTTTTTAAGTAATAAAAAAACAAAAGAAGAGAGCAACCAAACCAGAAAACAAATCCACCGTGATAACAAGTGCTTAAAACTATAGTAAACAAACAAAAAACGGACAGACAGATCCCCAGGATAAATGGTAAAAGCAAAGCTATACAGACAAATCACACACAGAAGCATACACATACACACTCACAAAAAGAGAAAAAGGGAAAAAATATATATATATCGTTGCTCCCAAACTCCACCTCCTCAATTTGGGATGATTCCACAGATGCAGGCTACTTCACGTTGATTGTGGAGCTTTAATCCGCTGCTCCTGTGGCTGCTCGGAGAGATTTCCCTTTCTCTTCTTTGTTCTCACAGCTCCCAGGTGTTCAGCTTTGGATTTGGCCCCGCCTCTGCGTGTAGGTCGCTGGAGGGCGAGGTTAAAGGAGCCGCTGCTTCGGGGGCTCTGGCTCACTCAGGCCGGGGCGAGGGAGCGGTACGGATGCGGGGCGAGCCTGCGGCGGCAGAGGCCGGCATGACGTTGCGCCAGCCTGAGACGCGCCGTGCGTTCTCCCGGGTAAGTTGTCCCTGGATCCCGGGACCCTGGCAGTGACAGGCTGCACAGGCTCCCGGGAGGGGAGGTGGGGATAGTGACCTGTGCTCGCACACAGGCTTCTTGGTGGCGGCAGCAGCGGCCTTAGCGTCTCATGCCCGTCTCTGGGGTCCGCGCTTTTAGCCGCGGCTCGCGCCCGTCTCTGGAGCTCCTTTAAGCAGCGCTCTTAATCCCCTCTCCTCGTGCACCAGGAAACAAAGAGGGAAGAAAAAGTCTTTTGTCTCTTCGGCAGCTCCAGATTTTTTCCCGGACTCCCTCCCGGCTAGCTGTGGTGCACTAACCTCTTCAGGCTGTGTTCACGCTGCCAACCCCAGTCCACTTCCTGGGATCCAACCGAAGCCCGATCCTCAGCTCCCAGACCCACCCGCCTCTCGGGCTGGTGAGTGCCGGTCGGCACCGATCCTCTGTGCGGGAATCTCTCCGCTTTGCTCTCCGCATCCTTGTTGCTGCGCTCTCCTCCGCGGCTCCAAAGCTTCCCCCCAACGCCACCCGTTGTCTCCGCCGGCGAAGGGCCTTCCTAGTGTGTCGAAACCTTTCCTGCTTCACAGCTCCCTCCCACTGGTGCAGGTCCTGTCCCTATTCTTTTGTCTCTGTTGTTTCTTTTTTCTTTTGCCCTACCCAGGTACGTGGGGAGCTTCTTGCCTTTTGGGAGGTCTGAGGTCTCTGCCAGGGTTCAGTAGGTGTTCTGTAGGAGTTGTTCCATATGTAGATGTATTTCTGATGTATCTGTGGGGAGGAAGGTGATCTCCGCGTCTTACTGTTCCGCCGTCTTGAAGCTCTGCCGTGCAATTTTTATTTGCAAAGTTGTTGAATTTATTGTATCACAAATCCTAAAAATGTAAATATGATGGAATAGATTGGGATAAAACATGTCTGAAGCAAGCTTATACAATTTTTAAAAAGCAAAACAAAAAATTAACACTCTTGATCTAACTAAAGTTATTATCACCATCAAAAGTGAGAATGGTCAACTGAAACTGACAAACGATAAATACCCATCCAGCTCTATTACTCTTAGTGCCCCAACTACTCGAAGTCCTAAGTGAGACATTTAATTAGGATTTGGTGAGGTGCATTTCATTCATGCTTGTTCATTCTTCATTCAGAAAACCTTTACTGAGTGCCTTTTATGTGAAGGCACAGTTCTAGCTAACATTAATTGAGCACTTCTTTTGTTTAGAACTATCTTGTAAGGAAATGTGGAAGGAAAACCTGGAAGAGTCTACAACACATCCATGCAAAACATCCTACTAACAAGGGGAAGATGAGAAATAGTGGAAGGAGGCAGAGTCAAGGACTGTTCAGAAATCTCTAGATTTAATCCCCAAAGTCTTCCTGGAGGAGGGGGAAATCTATACAGTGATGCCCTGCAGGTGGTAATGGGCAGGATTTCCAAGGTAAGGGTATTGCAGGCCTTGGTGGCCTAGCAGCTATGTGGCTGCTAGTTTTCCTTCTTTCCTGCACTGCAGGAACTTTTTTCTTAGAAATGTGGCTTCAGAAACATTGTTCAATTTTGCACATCTCCTTACCTTTCCCTTAATCTCTTATGCTTTTATGAAGAAACTTAAAAGAGCCTGCTGAAGAGAAGTTCTCTGCCTTCAGCATTGTCAAATTCTAACACTCATTATACATCAACCACTCAAGACTTTCCCTCCCTCCCTCCCTCCCTCCCCCCCTCCCTCCCCTCCCACCTTCCCCCCTCCCTCCCTTCCTTCCTTCCTTCCTTCTTTCCTCTTCCAAACTCTCTTCTGCATCTCAGGGTAGAAGCAGCTAAATTAGACCTTTTAGAATTCTGCTTCCAGCAGGGTTCTGGGTTAGATTCTGCCAAGAAGAAGCACTGCACGAGATTTGGAAGATAGGAGAAGGGAAAAGCCATTTATCTCTGGTGGCAGCTGCAGGCATACCTTTCAGCAGTAAGCAGACATGAGATTTACAGCAGCTTCCAGGGGAGCTCCTGCAAATCACCTGCTTTGGTACTGCCGTCAGGGGAGATGATCAGCAGGAACTTCCCTGTATTTCCCATCTACCCAAACTTCCTGAAGTCCAGCTGTGGTTTTTCTTTCACCTTGGTACCCTAGCTCTTTAAGTGGTTGTGTAAATCCCTGCTTGTTAGTATTATATTGTAACTTGAAAAAATTTTTTGAAGTCATCATGCTAGGCTAAGTTTTGTGATAAATCTCAGTGGCTTAACACAATAAATTTATTTTTTGATTATGTGTTAGTCTAATGGAGGTGGTGGTCGTAGGAAAGGTAGTCGGGGGTGGGGACTCTGTTTCAAAGAGCCATCTGGGGACTCAAGCTGATGGAGGCTCTCATATATATCTTCAGCCTGGCTTCAGGAAGCCTTGGGCATTGGCATCCAGCTGAACGACAAGGAAAGAAGGTTGAGAAAGGTGATTTCATGCATCAAGTCTACACTGGCACACACTACTTCCTCCCATATTCCACTGACCAATCACAAGCACCAGTGCAACTGCAAGAGGGGATGGAAAATTTGGTGTAGCTGTGTGCCGTGGCTCCTTTCACTTGGCCCAAGCCTTAGGTCTTGGTGTTTCTAGGAGTTCTGAAACCAGATCTCTCTCTCTTTTTTTTTTTTTTTTTTTTTCTCACTCTGCCCTTTTACTCTCACTTTGCCCTTTCTGCCTTTTTACTCTTACCTGTACTCATTACTTCAACTTCTACTTCTGCTCTTGGTTTCTCCTCTACCTGGAATGTCCTTTCCCTTTTTGTCCTTCTGGTGAATGTCCTCCAAGGCACCAATGGTATCTCCTTTCTGAAATTGTCTATGAGCATCCATTGGTACTTCCTCAGGACTTTTTTGCACATAGCTATAAAACACAAACTTGTAGCTGTAAAACTCAAATCTGATCTCAGTACAGACAGTTATTTGTTAGACACAGTTATTTGCTAACTACTTTCTTTTCCAGTCAGTGTAAGTTCTTTGTGGGTAAGGAAAACAAGTCATGTATTCTGAATCCCCTGCCCTGACTTCTCAAAATGTAGTAGGTGCTCATTAAATATTGTTTAAATGAATTGATAGATTTGGCTGTCTATTGACAAATTGGAGTAACTGAACAATAGTCCTAGTCATTCTCCTAAATATAATACAAATATTATTAATATAAATTAAAATAAAACCTCTGTGGTTTGGTAATATGTTCACAGCCAGTGTTTAAACATACATGCAGAATGAATTTGATTAAAAATAATTAATACTTTAAATAAAGAATTTGTATACACATGCTAAAATAACTCCCCCATGAATTTTTTTCTACAACTTGCAAGATCCTTTGTGCAGTTGGCGTTCATTACAGTAGGTCATTGACAAGGTACACATTCAATACAGATCTTCCTGGCTCATAGATTTCCTGCCATATTCATCTGCTCTACGTGGATTCCATCCCCTTACATTCTGTTCTTTTCTCTCCTCCTCCAATCTTCCCTCCTGCCTTCTCCCCTCCCCTAATTGATCACCATCTCTACTGAGCTTGAAAAGTTGTGACAGCTAGAAGAGAGAAAGAAACACGATAAATCCATGGAGGGACAGACATTTTCCCACCATAAATTTCTATTCTCGAGCACTCCTCTCTACCCCAAGGTGTGATTTTTAGCAGATTTTTTTTTACAAGCACTGGGTTTATTTAGGCAACACATCACCAAGAAATATAATTGTGACATAAACAATGTCTATAATTTGTCTCAGAGCCATTATCTTTTCTTTGAATTAATACTAGATCAATACCGTAGTAGGTTGTCAGGAGGATTGTATTGATGTCTCTGTAAACAAGTAAACTAACATTTCATCTAGTTTTACTAGGTATTCTGCTTGGCAATGGGAGAGGGGGTGAACAAAGAGATAAAAGTAAGTTCTTTGTTCTCAAATAATTTACAGTCTATCTATAAATTTGAGATGTTGTTAATTTATGCTTTTGGAAAAATTCATAGAACTTCCTTCACAAAATTCTAAAATTCTGCTTTAGGGTTCATTTCAGATCAGATACTTTCCTGTTCATCTTTTTTACTTCTATGGCTTTTAACTGCATCTCATCATCAGAGCTTTTTTTTATTCCTGTGCTTATATCTGCACATCCATTCACTCATTCTACAAATATTTAATGTGTGGACCATTATAGCTTTTAGGGGACACAGCAGAGGACAAAGTCCCTGCCCTCAAAGAACTTGTGTTTCAACGGGAGACAATAAACAAACACACATAATATGGTCAGTGTGTGCCATCAAGAAAAAATAAAACAGGTGAAAATGATTTTAGCGAGAATCGTCAGGGAGGTTATCTCTGAGGAGGTAACATTTGAGTAGAGACCTGATTGAAGTAGGAATTAACCACGAAGAGAACTAGCAAACAGCATTCTAGGAAGAAAGAGCAGCAAGTGAAAAGGGCCTGGGGCAGGAATGAGCTTGACACATTTATAGAACAGATAGAAAGCCTGTGTGGCTAGAGCTAAGTTAATAGAACTAAGTTACACATGCATAACTTTTTAGCTCATCAAGTCTTTTCACATCCATTATTCTATTTGTACCTCACAACAAGATAGTTATCATTTCCACTTTACAGATGAGGAGACTGAAGTTCAAAGTTTAACCAGTCACTTGTCCAAAGAGATTGAACTTGGCTTTAGACCCTAGGCTTAAAACTCCACATCAAGTACTCTTCCCATACTTCAAATAGTGCTATAGTGAATGTTTCTTTGGCTCTGCGTTGCCCTTAGGATACTGAAAAGTCTATAAAAGTCTATAAAATCTGTGCCCCTGAATAGAGGGCACAGAAGGATCAGTAGCTACCCTGAGCTGTCATACTCGAATCACAAAGTGGGATTTGGGGAAGGTCTCTGCTTTTTATTTCAGAGTCTCCTTGGGCAGTGGAATCATCTCTAGGATGTTATCCTCAAAGGAAGAAGGTTCCAGTCTAGGACAGATTACCAAAGTAGATTTAGTGGGCAGTTCTCCAATACTCACGTTGGTACTTTGTGTACATCTGGCCTGGAAAGGAAGCTCAGCAGACATCTTGATCAGGGTTCAGACAGACTCTGATGCTCACGTGATCCCCAGAGAACTTTAGAGCAGGATGAAATCATTGGATTTACACCCCTTCCTCACCTGTTTGCTATTTAAATTAAGACAAAATGTAGGTGAAAAGATAACACATGTAGATGGAGGCAGACCTGGCGTATGATTGTATTTATTCCTTCATAAAGCATTTTGAGCACTTACTGTCAAACACTGTGATGTGTGCTTGAGATAAACAAGGCATAGTCCCTCCATTCAGTGAGGTTGGGATCTAGAGGAAAACCAAACATATAAACACATAATTATCACACAATAAAGCTGTCTTGGAAGAAGTGTCTAGAGAACCCTTTAGAAGAATAACAAAAAAAAATTTGCCCCCATTCTGTACTGTCTTTGTTGAGAAGGAGAATCTTGCAGCCCTATTTCTGGTGGAGAAAGTACTCATTTGATAGAAAATTACTTTATTGGCCTTTCTCAAGTGACTTACTAAGAGTTGATTAATTGCTGGGAGTTCTTTGGATAGCCATCTGTATGTCATAAAAATAGTGTTCTATCATTAGTGAAATCAGATTCATGGAATAGGGGCTTACTGTGGTAAAACCACAGAAGTGAGCTACCAACGGATAGTTAAAAGTTTCCACTTTGGGTAATATTTAGGAACAAAATAGATGTATATCTCTGCAGAGCGGTTGGGAAGCTGCGGGTTGGACAGATGAGTTTGAGATGTTTATGATTTTTATCATTATCTGTGGTAAACTGTTACATCGGAGACAAAATACAGATTGTATTTCTTGAAGTCATACAGTTGAGGGTCTATTAAGCATAAGCAAACCTTAATACTTATTAAATAAAATTTCTCTCCAGTGTTTCATGATTCTCTCTGAGTCACTTTCCCTAGTCTGGGACTCATATACCAAATACCTCAGAGAGTGGAAATTCCAGAGCTCTCTGTTTGTGGTCTAAATGCTGACACTTACCCTGGAAGCTCCTTGAAGCCTTGCCTTTCTGCTGTAAATCCTCTCAGCTCCTGCTTCATTCTCTTATATTTCGCCTTCTCCTTACTCTCCCCACTTGACCCTCTGCGCGGTTATCTGCGTGATTCCCTGGACCCCACTGCACCAAGACATACTTCTTCTAGCACGGGCTCTGTGTCAGCCTGCCTTCGCACATGGCTGAACACTTTGATCCCAGCAGTGGCCCCCACCACGAGTTGCAGGCAGTCCAGACAGGCTCTGCTCGCCCCACAAAGTCACAGAGCTTCCGGTCTTGCCATAGCACCAAGTTCACTCCTGGGGAACCTACAGAACAAAGGGCGATGAGTAAGATAACTTCCATTGCCAGCCTCTCTGGAGACTCTGGAAACAGAATGGAGACTGCCTTTGTCATGGGTCTCACACAAACTGGGTGGGCTTTCCTCACGGTGTCCTAACAACTGACCACTGATTTGAAGTGAAAAATCTTCTGCAAACTGAGCAGTGTCTTAGGTGAGTACGGACACTGTTGATCTTTATTATTTGTGGGCTTCGTGCCTGTGGATTCACCCACTCACTAAAGTTTATTTGTAACCCCCAAATCCATACGTGTGGCACTTGTGCGGTCATTCGTGGACATGCCCACGACAGTGAAAAGTTCGAGTTGCTTGATGTTCCCAGCTGAAGTCAAACAAGGTGATCCTCTGTCCTCCTAGCTCAGCTTTCATATTGTAAACAAGCGTCCTGTTTGTGGTCTGCTCAGTGCACATTCGTTTCCATTTGTGTGCTTACTGGTTGGCGATTTCGGTGTTTAAAGTGGTTCCGAAGCATAGTGCTGAGGTGCTGGCTAAGTGTCTCCATAAGACACACCACGGGGCGGCGACGTGTCTTAGGGAGAAAATAGGTGTGCTAGATAAGCCTCGTTTGGGCATGACTTACGGTGCCATTGGCTGTGAGTCCCGTGTTAATGCATCAACAATATATATCACATGAGGCTTCTTTAAACAGAAACACACATAACACAAGGTTATGTATTGCTCAGTTGACAAAAATGTGAGCAGAGGCTCACAGGAAACTGACCCTATTTTTCTCCTAGGAACAATGGGTCAGTATTCACTAATTCCGGGTTTGTGGCAAATTTATAGAACATAGCTATAAGGAATAATGAGTATCAACTGTGCATACGTGTGTGTGTGTATATATATATATATATATATATATACACACACACATTTATTTTAATTGATGTGTAGTTGACACAATATTATGTTAGTTTCAGGTGTACAACATAATAATTCGATGTTTCTATAGATTACTCTCCATACAAAGCTATTATATTGACTGTTTTTCCTGTGCTGTACATTACATTCTTGTAACTTATTTATTGTATACCTTTAAGATTGTATCTCTTAATCCCCTTCCTCCTGTCTTGCCCCTCCCTCTCCCCCTCCACTGGTAACCACTAGATTGTTCTCTGAATCTGTGAGGATGTTTCTATTTCGTTATATTTGTTCATTTGTTTTATTTTTTAGATTCCACATATAGGTGAAAGCATGTACTATTTGTCTTCCTCTGACATATATTTTTTATATATTTTTTATTATCACCTAAAGGGAGTCACATAAATCTGTTTGCTATCACATTAACCACATGCTGGAGAAGAAGACTGTGAGATTTGTGGGATCTTCTCTAATGAGTAAAATAAATACAATTTTTTATGAGATGAAATAATTGTTTACAACTAATCAGAACCTATTTACTGTATCAAATTTTATTTTCTCTAACTCTTTGCAAAGAATATTAACTTTCAAGGCAAGGAGACAAAGGAAGGCCACCTTCTAATCAGCCCCTGCGTTTGTGGAGAGCAAGGCTAGTCCACTCACCGCAGAGCTTTGTGGCACATTTATAATTCACAGAAGGGGCCATCTGAAAGCATTTCCCAGAATTGTCACAAAATTCTGTCAGCTCCTGCAGTGATGAAAAAGTACAGTCTTGTGAATATGATTAAGGTGCATTGGAATCTAAGAAAACCATCGATAGCCACTCCAGCTCTCTTCACGCTCTTGGAATGTACTCTCGAGAAGAAGGTCGGTTCTGACAGATGATTTCATGGCATTTTACTCACTGTGGGATGTATTTGAGAAGCCGTGTATCAAAATCTTGATCTTTGCTTTATTTTTTCTTTATTGTTGATTTAAAAGATTAGAAGCATTCCAAAACCTTTTTCTAAATGTCTTCTCATACGTTTAGCGAAAAGAATTCAGAACGCATTTGACACACATTGTAGAAGCATAAATCAGTTAAGGGTAGGATCCTTGCAAATTGCTCTCCCCTTTATAATTTCATCTCATTAGGGAAGAAGGGACAGGTGGGTGTACCGGTGGTTACTGATCAGGAATTGCATTTTCTTTCCAGAGCAGTGAGGATCTTGTGGTATGAAATCCCCTTCTGAGAAAACTATGCAGGTTTTTATTATGCATAAAAATCCTTCTCTGTTAGGTTTCTGTAGTTTATAGAAAATGTGTGAACTGAAGTTAGAAACTGTTTTTCTTTTACATTTTATTGACTTCTTAGGCTGAGTGTAAAAAAAAAAAAAAACAACAAAGGGATCCCACAATAAAATTTTTCTTCCCTTGGTGTATTAAGATGAACATGCGAAGTACATTTGTGAAATATGCTCATTTAGTCACTGACACCAAATGTGTTTGGTAGACCAAAGATGAAGGAATGTGGTCTAGGAGTTCCAAGGACTAATGAGTAATATTTGTGGTCATATTTGTATAATCCTATTGTAAAGTCTGCTTTCTAAATACAGATCTCTTGTGTTTCAACTCTGAAGCCTCCTGATAATGCAGAGGGTAAACATAATGATTTCAGAATATGCAGTAATTGTAATGATAATGAGTCATTTTATGTCATGGTATTTCATCTTTATAACAGCCCTGAGGAGGTATCAGTAAACAAGTATTCATTCAATACTGTTTTGTACTCTGAATTTAAAAAAAATTAATTGTTTTTTCTTTTTTTTTTTTTTGGCCGTGCAGCTTGTGGGATCTTAGTTCCCCAACCAGGGATCAAACCTGGGCCACGGCAGTGAAAGCACTGTGTCCGAACCACTGGACCACCAGGGATTCCCTTAAAAAAAATTTTTTTAAATTGTGGTAAAACATACATAACATAAAAATGACCATTTTAGCCCTTCTAAGTGTACATTTCAGCAGCTTCACGCATACTCACAGTGTTGTGCAATCATCACAACTATTCAGTTCCAGAATGTTTTCATCATCCCGAACAGAAACTCAGTACCCATTAAACAATACCTCCCCATTCCTCTCTCCACCCAGCCCCCGGAAACCTCTATTCTACTTTCTGTCTCTATTAATTTGCCTCCTCTAGGGACCTCATGTTAGTGGAATCATATAGTACTTGTCCTTTTATGATTGGCTTATTTCACTTAGCATGATGTTTTCAAAGTTCATCCATGTATCATAATTTCACTCCTTTTCAAGGATGAATGAATGATTAGTTTTTCAGCACCAACTAATGTTCTGGACACTTTTCTAGACCTGAGGTTCTTACTAGGAAATGCTCATGTTTGCTTCTCCCCAGGGGTCTCCACACTCTGGAAGCTCTATCATTTTGCCCTGACTCCTGGCTTCCAGAATCCACCCCCGTGTCTTTTCCTTTTTCAAGCCCAAACTCCAAACTTGAAACTCAAATTACTACTCTTTGGGTCGAGCTATAAATATGTAATTATTACTAATCTGTGCTGATCAGTACAAACTAGCTCAGCCAACAGTGTTGTGAAACAGTATAGTAGTGTCATCCTTAAACCGGTGGGTGTTTGAGGGTGCGCCAGGGGAAGTACCATGGCACCGCATAACAGGGAACAGCCAGTTAGTGAATGTTCCTACCCAATGGAATAAATCAAACTTCTTTTTTTTCCCCCAGGATAAGAGAGAACACCAGAGTAAACCAAAAATCTTATCCCATGATTAATAAAGCAGGCAACTGACATTTCTCAGAGTATATTGAAAGGAGGAATCTCCGTGGAATCCAAATATAGACTGTCTATTTGAAGAAACTGATAAGAAATCGTTAAAGACTGAGGACTGAATACAGGGATGCAACCATCCTAACACAAAATATCGCAGGAAGCACAAGAGTAGCAGCTCAGGTGGGACAATGTAAGGACTAAAAAAAAGTGTCCTGGCAGGACCGGAAGAGGATTCTCCTCACCTTAGTAGTCAAGCATTTGATACAAATTCCTAGTATATAGGAAGTAGAATTTGATTTAATACTACTATAATATTCACAGCCTGTCATAGAAATCTAGGGTTTTTTAACTGTATAGCAAATGTATTTTAATTCCATAACATGGGCTCAGTAATTCCCTGCACGTTTATTGTATTCAGAGAGCCCAGAGTTAATGCATTCCTGTAGGTCGGTGGGTGGCTCTCAGACACCAGCCTGCATCAGAATACCCTGGAGGGCTTGTTAGAACTAGATTCCTCCAGAGTTTCTGATTCAGTAGGTCTGGAGTGGAGCTTAAGATCCAAATTTATGACGAGTTCCGAGGTGATGTTAATGCTGTTGGAGTGTTAACCCCAATGTCAGGACCACATGTTAGGAGCTCCTAGGTATATCTAGATACCTAGATCAGATGAGTTAGAGTTTAGTTGAAATTCTGACACATAGAATGCTTTTGAAATCTGCTCATCTTTTCTATTTTCATTGTTACCATTGATATTCAAGCCACCATCAGTCTCATGAAGTGCAAAAGCCTCCAAATTGGTGTCCAATTTCCTATCTTGCATCGCTCCAATTTCTCCTTCAAAAGCAGCTATGGTTATCTTTTAAAAGCCTAATTAGACCATCCAACTCTTCTGCGTAATGTTATTCAGACAATTTTCATAGCACTTACTCCATAAAACCCAGCTTCTTACCGTGGCTCTCCAGGGCTTGTGCGACCCGGGCCCAGCCCATCTTTCCATCCTCCTCACGTTTTCTGCCCCTCCGCTCCTCGTTCACTAAACTCCAGTCACCTGACATCCTTTCAGCTCCTTCAAACACACCGAAATTTCCTCCCGCAGGACTTTTTAACCCACCATGCCCTTTGTTGCTATGACCTCTCCCCAACTATTCTTTACCCGACTAGCTCTTTCTCTTCTAGCAGGTATCAACTTAAATATCCCCTCAGAGACACCTTTTCTGATCCTCCACACTTAAACTAGGTCCTTCCTTTTATCCTGCTTCCGGTTACACTCTCTTATTTCCCTTTGTAGCCCTCATTCCAGTTTTGTAACTGCCTACTTCTTCGTTCAGTTACTTGTTTACCATCATTAGGCTCTAAGTTGCTCGAGAATGGGATCACATCAGTGCCTGAGAGATGGCAGGTGTTCACCGGGTTGGATCACAGACGGGGCAGGAAGCAGGCAAGCTGTTGTTGAGTGCAGTGTTCATTTTCTGGGTTCATCCAAAGCCTTTCGAGTAAGGAGTCTGTCACTTGGGGCCTTTGTTCCTTCAGTTAATGCTACTTGAGGCCTTTGCTCTGAGTCACAACCATTCCATCTTTGACTGCTGAAACTGTGAGTGGCCTGCTTCAGTGTGGTTAGTGACTAAAGCACAGGCCTGGTTGTCATCAGCTCTCCTCTTCTACCCCGTGCTATTTCAAAGAGTCTCCTGAGAGGGCTGCCCAAGGAGCTGAGGAAATGGAGTGATGCTTTGATTGAATAATTAATCAGAGTGTGCCCAGATCAAGGGAAGAGATGGTCCTTTGGCAATCTACATTACATCAAAGGCTACATTGAGAGACTGTATTTAGTTTGGGGTAAGTTTTTAAAAGGAGGGAGTTGGAAACTGTTCCAGGAGGGCAGCTAGTATAGTTCAGAATTTGAGAAGTTTGTCACAGAGAAAACTATGGAGAGAGAAGCCACCATCTTGAAAAAGAATGACGCTTGCTCTAATTGTCCCAGTGGAATGACAAACTTCAGATAAAAGTCACAAGAAAGCGGATTTGGGGTCAGCATAAGGAATAATTTTCCAAAAAGTAGAGCTGTTGAAAAACAGAGTGGAATTACTTTGTGAGGGAGTGAATTCCTCTTATCACTGGAGGTGTTAGGGCAGAGATGGTGAGGAAGGTGGGAAGAAGGAAGGAATTAACATTTATTGTGAACTGGTCACTTTACCTGTATAATTGTATGGAGGAAACCTTATTTTCTTGGCAGCAGACTCTTTCAAACCCCTACCGTCTTTTTGAGGGAGGGTATATATTGAGAAGCCTACGGGGTGGGGGTGGTATTGAGATGCTCGTGCCCTGGAGGAGGAGTAGATGGCCCTTGTTC